AAAACAACTAGGTACTTTGCCGGGTCTCAAGTGGCCATTTCTAGTTAGTACTAAGTAATCCTATGCATGGTATAGAGACAAATATCTTTTGCCATTTGAAGCGAAAAAAATACATTACAACATTTTAAATTTAAGGTTGCTCTGGAATTAAAAAATCAACAGGCATTGCAGTTTCGTGAATTTTTTCCTGCTCACTGGTCGAAATGGTTTGATAGGGGCGACACCATTTTATTGAATTTTTATACTGCCATTTCTGAAACTGCAACCAGAAGTAGATTCCAGAAACAGATCGTGCTGACTGGATGCTTCGTGAAGTTATTCAATGTAACAACACCCTCCCCCCCCCTCTTCAACAATAATAACCACCAGGGTCTAAATATTAGTAAAATAGTAGATCGCTCTTGATAATTAATCATTAAACTTGTCAAGATTATCATAGTTCAAGCACAGAGCCACGTTGTCAAATTATCAATCCCGTGTTGAGTGCGAATTTGTTATTTTACGCATATTTACCATATTATGGTTAACGATAGGGTGAAATTGATTTTAAATTCGTGATCAGCGACCCAAAAAACACATATAAGCATATGTTGCACGCTGGTAAGGGTGATATTCTAATTAATGCCGTCTAGATCGGGCTCTGGAACCAATGTGCGCCGTGAGAGACTCTGAACGCTGCCAAATTTCCTTTAATAAAATATTAATTATCACAGAAATCGGTGAATATTTTTCGGATAATTTTCGGATGTTCATGCGTCGTTTTCCCTCAACACGACAGAATACCTATAGTTGCTTGGAGCCATTAAATATGAAACATTATTGCTAACACTACTATCTGTTTATTTATTTTTTCTTTATCAAGTGTATGTATTCATTGTAGGTGGCAGTAGTCACCGCGGCTCAATCCTTAAAAACTCACCCTATAAAGTGGATTGTTTTTTCGTGGGGGCGGAGTTAAAAACACTCTTTAACTTTTTCAAAAAGTTAGAGAGAAAACCTGGACACAATCATTGGTCCATGCATTAAGAACCTGCCTGTAGATGAGATTAATTAAATCCGCATAAACGCGTTCAACGAGTGTTAATTGAATAATAAATTACGGCCTGCAATTTAAGGACATGAAGCGCACTAGATTCCCTCTCTCCACGGGACCATCCCTGTTGACACCTCCTCTCCGTCATTCACGAGGGACATGCTACGGGGCCGCTATGGCTATTGCAATTATCCGTCACTCGCCACCTCTCTTTACTTCTAGCTCCAGGAGAGAGGAGGAGACGGGATTTTATTAATGATATGCAATTTTAATTGATGCGCAGATAGAGTGTTCTATACTGCCGTGCTAAGGAAAAACGCCGTATGAAACTTCAAGCGTTGCCAAATCCCCTTTGATGAAAGACACATTTTCGAAAAAACTGATGATTATTTTTCCCAGTTTTTCAGATTATTTTGTTCGCAATTTCAGCTAAAGTTCCTGAAGATTTCAATGAAAAATATTCATAAATCTTCTTGAAAATACATATTTTATCGAGGGAAATTTGGCAACTCTCGAATGTACATACGGCGTTTTTCCTTAGCACGGCAGTATAAGTCCCACAACTAAAATCTCTCTTGATGAGGTGTGTCGGTGGCAAAAGTTGATAAATGCATAGCTCCATCGCGATATTTTAAAATATCATGTTTAATTTTTTAAACTGATGCAAAGCGAGAAATCTCCTTCAGATTCTAGGAAAGTATTTTTGAAATAAGTCGAAAAAGTTCAAAGAAAAATTAAAGAGAGACTGTTGGTTAGTTTTATTTTAAAGGATAAAACATGGTTTCCAACGTCTCAAAAAAAATATACCTATAATTCGACCTTAGCGAACGATATTCACTGCAGTCTTCACGAAAGTCGTTTCTTTTAACAAAGAGGCCTAGTAAATGATGCGATCAATGTAGAAAAAGGCTCGAGTGATAAGCAGAAGCCATCTACAGGAAACCAAAGTTCCTATACTCCCCCCCCTCCTTCTAGAAATCAAAGTTTTATGCTTTAAGAACCTGACATTTTCTGAGGATTTTCTTCTTTTGTGCAGATATATAAGTTCATGAAAAAATCTTAAGGAGATGGTTAAGGGATGAGTTAAGGAGATAATTTTAAAAAGTTTAAGGCTTAATCGGCCCTCCTTTTAAAACCATACCTAATACACGAATTTGGCAACAAAAAGATACAATGCACGCAAGAGCAGAAAACAAGGGACATGCATTTGGAAATCTGCGCTCGGAAACTCAGAAGCAAAACTACCCGTTACGGGAGCTGTGGAAAAGATGAGGAAATATTACAGAAAAGGTGAAACAAAATAAAACAAAAAGGCGCATTCATTCCATTTTACTATATAGAGCGGCATTCTGAAATCCGAATACCTACACTGCCGTGCTAAGGAAAAACGCCGTATGAACATTCGAGAGTTGCAAAATTTTATTTGATGAAATGTTTACTTTTGAGGAAAATTATGAGTACTTCTCCTTGAAATTTTCAGACTTTTAAGATCCAATTACGAACGGAATCCTCTGTAAAATTAGAAGAGAAATAATCACAAATTTTCCTGGAAATTCGCGATTTGTCGGGGAAATTTGGCAGCGCCTGATGGCTTGTACGGCGCTCTTCCTTAGCACGGTAGTATAAAGGGGGTGGATATTGTAAATCGAGAGTATCGATGTGATTAATACTTGGAACAAGGGGTGGAAGGGGCGATGCCTGATGACATAATGGAGCTTGCTAGTTGTGGTGCTTTCATTTCTAAATTATTTACGATGGTTTGGGGAGCCACAAAGTCCGAGCGTTTCCGTTCGGATATTATATTTTTTTTACGATTCCTGTTTCCTTCCGGGTATTGATAAATGATTATCTCTAGTCCCTCTAGTTTTCACGGGAAAAACAAGCTAATGTCTCTGGGACACATCGGTTGAGGCAAAGTAATACACGTTAACCCTTCAAGTCGGGGACGCAGTTTGTATCTTAAACTGCCGTGCTGAGGAAAAACGCTGTATGAGCCTTCCAGCATTGCCAAATCTCCCTTAACAATTAAGTCATGAATTTTGGGGAAAATTTGTCTATATGTTTCTTCCGATTTGTCAGAGAATTTCGTTCGTAATTGGATCTCCAGTATCTGAAAATTTCAAAGAAAAATATTCCTGAATTTTTCAAAAATAAATATTTTCCGAAAGATAATTTGGCAATATTCGAATGCACATACGGCGTTTTCCCTCAGCACGGCAGTATACCTAATACCGCTGCTAGTGGAACCTACTACCTATGCTACCGTGCCAAGGAAAAACGCCGTATGAGCCTGTAAGCGTCGCTAAATTTCCATCAATAAAAACCGGATTTACCGGGAAAATGTTGAATATTTTTCTTCAAATTTCTTAGAAAATTTTGTTCGCAATTCGATTTAAAATATCCGAAAATTTCATGGGAAAATATGAATATCTTTTCCTCAAAATTACATGTTTTATCCGGGGAAATTTGGCAACTCTCGAATGTTCATACGGCGTTTCTCCTTAGCACGGCAATGTGCGTGGCGCTTATTACCCTTTGCATTAGACATACGACCCCGTGTGTATGTCCAACTAACCTCTGTGTGACACAAGAAATCGCAAGGGTCGCCATACCCTGAATCCGGCACAGACTGTGTCCTAGACGCAGAAGGTTTTAACGTATTAATTTTACCTAGCCCGTTTTTCCGTGTCAGTTTTCCGAAATTAATTGAGATCGCCCAACCAGAAAAATTGGATGATTTGAGCATTGTTTTTTCGTATAAAATATATGTAAGTTAATAGTAGGTAGTAAAATAATGAAATTCCAGGAACGCGTATCTCTCTTGGGGTGTTCCAACATCCTCCTCGCTATTTTACATAGTCAAAAGTAAAAAAACCAATGCTAATGCCTGAAATTTACACAATATAATCACACAGAGAAGGAGAGTCAGGGAAATTTTCACGAAATGAAATTGAATATTTATCTAATTGAAAAATAAATTATGTCAAGATGTTTGCAACGTCGCAAATCGAGGTACCCATTCTTTCTAACGCGCCCCTTGAAACGCCTTTACAAATTAGGCGAACGGAACCAACACACCAATGAGAGATAGAGCAAGGGAAAGAACGTGCGTTGCTGACGGCGCAGAGATACAACTATTCGTACTTGATGGATGACCGTGTTGCGTCTGCAAAATTGAAGGCGCGATGACTCGAGGCGTGAACTCGTGGTAATTCTCCGCTCTACGCTGCTAGTGAATAGTCAAATTGACACATTGGAAAACACTCAACGTGATTTCTTGCAAATTCTCCTGGTCTTATTCCTCTGTGCGAGGAATAATCTGTAAACATTTCCGGCAATAGTTTTGGAATTTTGTCCTTTGATTCAATAAAATGAGAGCGGAGATTTTGAAACACCACAAAATAAAATATGCGCACTGAAAAAAAATTCTCGGCGTTTTTACCAAGGTCCGTTGGTACCTTTACCATCTCACTTTTTTTTACCAATTATTGGTAATTTTACCAATATAGACTGGTAAGCTTACCTAAAAATCGGTATTTTTACTGTTTTTTTCAGATAAGAATACCACTTTTATCGGTAATCAATTCCCGGTAACTTTGCCATTTTATCCCGGTAATTTTACCACAGTCGATAAAAAATATCGGCATTTTTACCAAGGTCCAGTAAAATTACCGAGAAAGTTCAACAATTTTACCGAGATTTCTTGGTAAAATTACCAATTCCATAAATGGTAATTTTACCAAGAAAAAACTGGGATCAAATAGAACCCTGAATTCTTGGTAATTTTACCCTTTTCTTAGTAAATACACCGAGATTTTTTTTTTCAGTGCGATTCTGCAGTTTCACCGTCGATATATTTTTTAGCACAAACTCAAAGCAAACGTGAACTCGAACTAGAAAATGAGCAAAATATAAAACAATAAATTAAATTTTAAAAATCGCAAATCAATAGAAATAATACTTTCAAAAAGGAAAAAAAGAGGAAGAAGGTGAGTGATGAGTATACCTTTAAAGTAAAAGCCAAGGCAAAGGCAAGGGCGAAGGCAAAGCAAAAATCGGAAGCAAATGCAATAGTTAGAGCAACGGACTGCTGCGTGGTCACTGCGGTGTACTTACTGGCAGTCAGAGCCGCGATTTCGAACATTCATGAGCTTGGCTGAGCTCGTTTTTAGCCTTTGTCATCGCCCGGGATCTCTCTGCTTATTAATTAACCTATGTTGATTCATAAATCAGATCTGAAATCACAACAACAAAACATTTAGTCATGGTTGCAATTTTTCGTGAGGAAAAAAATCTTGAAATTCACGTGAAATATTTCATAAAATTTCAGAAATTTATGAAAGATATTGAAAAATATCGGCTCTTCTTCATGTCCCACAAAATGTAAAAATTGTCACTTTTTTATGTTTGTGAATGTTTGAATGCGGGTTGCATACTCTAGCCCCTGAAAAATATAAAATATTTCACAGCCTCGTGAAATTTCATGATATATTTCACGGAAATTTCCGCAATCTTTCATATTTTTCATTTCACGTGTGCAACCCTGTATTTAGTATGAAACAGCGCTCCAAAAAATGTAACTCCCAAACTTACTCTACAGCAGTGACGTGGCGTGAATGATCGACTATCGATTTTTCCCTATTTGAAGCTATGGTAAAGAATCGATTATTAAGGTGTACGTTGCGAACACCTTGATAATCGATCCTTTTCCATAGATCTAAATGGCGGATCAATCGATACATCGCAAAGCACGCCACGCCGCACCACTGCTCTACAGTATAAAACCGTAGGCGTAACGTTCGCCCTTCGAAAAAATATAATGTGTTGGAAAAACTGCAACGTCACAATCCGGACGGTGTTTCTCCATTTCCACGACCGAGAATTCATCCTTTCACGAAATGAACGTTTTTACGCTGAAAGGAACTAAGTGGATAGGGTACGCGTGTGACATAGTTCCTTTTAGCATAAATACGTCCAAATAAAACTCGGTGCGATGTGCTGCCGTGCTAAGGAAGAACGCCGTGTGAACATTCGAGAGTTGCCAAATTTCCCTTGATAGAACATATATTCTTGACGATATTCATGCACATTTTTCTTTGAAATTTTCAGATATTTTAGATTAAAGTGCGTCCGAGATTGTCTGAAAATTTTGAAAAACAATATTCCTTTAAATTCGGTTTTTATCGAAGGCAACATTAGGTGATCTCAGTATTGCACCTTCAAGGAGGAATGCGGAAAATTACTAAGGGTTTTTGAAAATGTGCGTTGAACCATGAGGATCTCGAATTTTAGCGGACTCGATACATTCTGTGCGAGCTGAATCATACGGACCTCACAATCAGCAGTTTGCCTCACTGACAGGACAAAATCCAAAATTCACATCGGCATATCCCACCGAAACTCAAAATAACCACGATATTCTTTAACGCGAAATTGCAGCGTTCAAGGCCCTCAATTTTTTCCTTTTCTTTCTTGCTATTCTTGCATATTCACTGTAGTTGTCGTAATTTTTTTCATCGATTTTTCTCATACGATTCTTATTTGTACAATTGCTCCCAGCCATTGGGAGATTGGACAAATGAGAGTCGGTTATGAATGTCTTTTCATTTTTTTTGGGTTATTCTCATTGAAAAAAATAATGTGCTGTTTTAGCACCTGGGATGTCAAAAATGTGTCTGGTGATCATAATTGCGACGGGGGAGGTCGGACACAACTTGGCACTTCTAAATACTTATGGCTTCATAATAGGAAAAGTTACTTACAGCGGAGTTATTAGGGTAGCTACTATCGTTACTTAGAATTTTTTACTTACTGTTACTAGTATTAGCTTGCTTACTGGTACTTTTTAGAAAGAATTCTGTTTATCAGCCATTATGGCTGTTTATGGCTGATACCAGGTTGCCGAAGAAGGTGTTGGAGTGGGTCCCCCCAGGTAGGCGACGGAGAGGGCGTCCAGCCAAACGGTGGGTAGAGGGCATCCATGAAGAGATGGAGAGATGCCAGCTTCCGGAGGATCTCTACCATGACAGATTCCTGTGGAGAATAGGCGTCGCAGAGCGCCCTAGCGCGCCGTAAAAGCGGCTCATACATACATTCTGTTTATTCCTAAATTTTCATGTCCGACCTCTCCCGCCGATTCGCCCCACTGCGCGCCGAGGGGCCCTCCGCCGCAGTGCTGCCTGAATAACGTTGTCGGTCATTGATTATTGTTCTTTTTTTTTTTTTATAAGGAAAAGGAAAGAGTAAGAGGGAGGAAAAGAAATGTAAGTTGTCTGACCATTTAGCAACCCTGCAACAGAGGACCTCAGGGAGCGCGGCAGGTTTTCAAGTCATTTAAAATTTGTGTCTATTAACCCTTTGTCGATTCTTGATCGACCTTTCTCCATGAAGACCCACTCCGACAAGGCTCTACGCATTTCTGAGTAGGTGAATTTTTAAGTGAGTGAACGAAGAGGGCGCGTCCCGCGGCGCTTCCGGGACCGTGTCGTATTAATGAGTAGGCGCACCAGTAAACAAGTAGTATAATAAAATTTAAGGGGATTACCCCTATTGACGCACATCCCCTAACAAAAATTAACAAATTTACTTCATCCCCGTTTTAGCAAATGAGAATAAACCAAAAATGTCAAGAAATTAGTACTATTTTAAGTACCATTTTGAGAATCATCAAAAGAAAATTTAAATGCGCGAAAAAATGCGCGCTAAAATTAATTCCCGTATGTTTGATAAGAGTGGAAAGTAATTCTGCGCATTTCATCGTGAAAGGAATTTTCCATCATTCTATATTTTTCATGGTTTTCAGTTTGCATTTCCTTTGCCAAGAGGGGCCGCGCGCAATAAGATATGAGTCGCATTGTGCACGTGGTCCTATGAGGTTCAGGGCTCACGTCTCAATGCTCGCAGCCTCGCTCGGCAAAGGAGATGCGCTCGCTCGATCTTCTTAAGAAATGCTCTGTGCTCTGAAGGTGGTCTTTTCACTACGCTGCCATGGCACTCCGATTATGCTTTCTGATCCTATTTTTCCCGCTATTGCGTAGTTATGCAGTGAGCAAAGACACGGCGCAAAGGCGCGTCCAGGCCAGCAACGCAGAGACGACAAATGATATTGCTGGCGAACAAGTTTGTAAGAAATTGTGAATTTTTCGACGTAGATCGACGGGACTGCAGTCTGCAATCCGGACCCACATACTCTTTCTCATTCGGAAAGCACTTATGTGTATAGGAATACTAATGGCGCATATGTCGTTCCTAAACCGTGTCAGAATCTATTTACGCAGTCCAAAGGCACTATGTTTTCTCAGATCTGAAATAACGCATGCGCCCCTAGTCCCTCCCATGCACACAAGTGTTCTCACTGATGGTAACTTTTTATAGTTTCAAGCTACGAATTGCATTCTTATTAAAGAGGTGCTGTTGAGCACGTTCCGAAATGGAGAGTCCAAATTTGAGTCATTGAGGAAAAGTTTAAGGACAATCGGAATGTACTCTGCAAAACAAATGGGCGTTATCTGTGGTTCTCCCATAAAAGCACACATCTGCATAGTGGAACCAATGGCCTGTATAATAGGCCACAATAGGCCTGCAATAGGCAATAGGCTGTATTCTACAATAGGCCGTAAGTATTGGCTTAATATTGGCTTGATTTGGCAACAGCTGTTTAGCGATCAGTTTTTTCTGCTCTCTGCGGGAGGGGGGGGGAGGGTGTTCACCCACTAGTCCCTATTTGCTGAAGTTGCACATTTTCTTTCTGGGAATCGGCTCTGTTCTTGGACGGGTAGCTCCCGGTTTCAGTCCGCGTTTCGTTGCGTTGCGTGTATCTCGTTTTGAACAGTTTGGAGAATTCGGAGATAGGAAGGAAGTAAAAAAATGTTTCCGTTAGAGTTTCGTGGAACGGGTCGTGGGTGGTGGGAAGTTCTGCTTCTCCTCCGCGCGGCCCTCCAATTCTCGTTGAATTGTGTGATTGAGCCTTATGGTGACGGACTTGCTGTGTTTTTCGTGCGGGATGAGGCTCATCCTGACTTTGGTCGGCACTTATAACGTTTGTGTCGCGATCATGAAGACAGCGTTGTTAGTGAGGTTAGGTACCGGGTCGCCGGCTCTCACGAACGAGGTGGCTACCTCAGGTGTGTTGTGGAGTTCGCCCCTGGCGACCAAGAGTTGATAATAGTGTGGGTCATCGAAGTGCATCATCTCCCACCACCCACGGAGTGGTGATTTCTGGGAGTTGGCCTCGGTTTTTTTTTTTTTTGGTGTTATTGTAGTGAGGTAGTTTAGTTTTAGGTTAGGTTTAGGTTTTTCATTCTGCTCTGCCGTATCAGGTAATTTTTGTTTAATTATTTTTACTATCTTTTATTTTTGTTTTTGAACTATGATAATGTGCTATTTTTACTATGAACTGCGGTCGAATCATCGACTGCTGCAGAGGAAGGATGTATTGTTGAATGTGTGTTGGTATGGGGTGGGGGGGGGTTAAGAGTCGCTGATCAGGCGTCTAGCTCTCCCTATGCCGTCTGCTCCCTCAATCACGGTTTCTTTTCATTTCATCTTTCCATTTTTAGTTATGTTCTTAATTTTAATTCATTTGGTTTTCCTTCACGTGTATGGATCTAATAATCCCTTAGGGCTAGTAGGGTCTTATGATAAAGTCTTTTTTTATCCTTATTATGTATTGATGCTGCCTTTACTGCCCTTGCAGTATTAACTTTACATACTATGAATGCAAATTCAACTGCGTGTGCAATCAAGGTAGCATGTTAGGATCACTAGACACGTTTTTGACATCCTAGGTGCTAAAACAACATACCATTTTTTTCAGTGCTTTTATACAAACGGGTCTAAGAGTGCGCAAAGCACCCTTTGGGGTTTGGGTCGCGTAGCGGCCAAGGGGCATAGCCCCCTAGTATTTTATGAGCGGCTCCTCACATGCTTTTTCATGATTCCATATTTCTCTCCAGGTTTTCAAGTTTTATTGGATATCAGGGGTTTTTTTTTTCAATAATACTCCTGGACCGCATGTTCCTAATGACCCGGAAGGAACTGAACTGGGCGGCGGGTGGGCGAAGATAGGGGGTTGTTGGGCGTGTTAATCGTCTTGGTTGATTAAATCGAGCGATAATGCGACCGGAAGAAACTCGATAACCCTAGAGTCGAGATTATGGAGATCCCTCGGGGCGAGGAAATGACACATTGAAGGGCGCTGGATAGCCCTTGGCTTGATTCCATCATCGTTTACATT